AAACTTTTAGTAAGAGACCCATTGCAGTTTTAAATTTATGCATGTCAGCAGTTCCCAACTGCTTTTGCCTGTCAGCCAAATTTGAGAGTTTATTTGAATATTATCATGTGTGATTGGGTTCAATTCCCAAGGATTTAATGATTAAATCCTTATCTATGTTATTTTTAGCTGTGTAATAGGGTCAGTCATTAGGTTCAAAAGTCAGTTTTTGTATGGTACTTCCTAGTTGATATTTTTCTAAATACAGCAATAACACACAAAAAAAAGAGAGAGGAAAAAAAATGTCTCATTATATGGTACTTTTATTTTAAGACAGCAAAAGGCATGGAAATTGATACCAGTGCTTTATATCTGACTTATATGGAAGAAATGTACTATAGAAAATGTGATTTTATTAAGGTAAAAAAAAACTTAAAGACTGCTTCTATTACTGTAAAATTCCACCCTGATTTGGTAAGTTATGGTTCATTGCCAAAGTATTATCATATATTTTCTAATTTTCATTTGAGGTCCTTGAAGTTAGATATTAATCCAATTAGTCAATTACTAATGCCATATTGCTTTTCAATATTGAGTAAGCAGTAATTCCATGAATATCAAAGAAACCATAAATAACATAAGTAGTATAAATCATCCTAGTGTACATTATAAGATATGAATAATTTTATTTTTTAGTCATTAGAGTTGAAATATTTACTAAGAAATGTTGGGGCACTAAACTTGAAGCCTGATTAGTTTTTATGCGTACTCTTTTGACTCGTAAAAGATGAGAATAAGAATGTTTTCCCATTATAATACCATTGGGCTTTTATTTTAGAAGCTTCCCAAGAAATCATGAACAAATATATGTAGTTGCATAGAGGATATATGCAATGATGGTCATTATAGTAAAGCTCAGTTTACAAATTATTCTTCTACTTTGCTGAAGCAGACACTGTTTTTGTCATTCTCTCAAATGTCAAATGCTATACCACATAATAGACATGCTTCATTTCTTATGACAATAGGATTCCAGAACCAAAGAAAGGTAAGCAATGAATTTGTTTTAAGTAAATTTTAGTAATGCATCTATAATTGTAATTGTTTATGAATAATAGTTATGCATAGAGTGTGGTATTCTTGGTTGCAGACATTTTTTATGATTGAGATAAAGTGTTCACTGGTTAATAGAGAAGCAAGACAAGCTGCAGCCTGGCATATAAAAGATTTATATGCTGCAGTGCCTTGGGAATGGATAATTGTCATCGTGAATAGGACTATTATTTTGCTATGATCATGGTTTTTGTTATTTAACTATGAAATTTATGTATTCCATAATGTTAAAATAACTGATAAAAGATATAAGAGCATTTTCCAAAAGAGTTCAATATGATTGTGTAAGATGTTGATAAAGGCTTTTATGCTTTCTTTTTGCATTAGAGTGCTGGAAGTAAGAATATTTAGAATTAACTGCATTTATCCCTCTTTATTTCTCAAAATTAAAGATGATGATGAAATAAGTTTCCAACATTTTGCCCTTGTTGACTGGAAGGTACATATTATGATCTGTCCCTAAAGGATCCATTGTGGCTTTGTTGTTTTGTGCATAGGCTGAAAGTTCCATTCTGGTATTCAGTGTATGTTAAACATTTTAATGATTCCTTTCATAAAGATAGAACACTTC